AAGGTCGAAGGTGGTTACAGACAATCATCCCCAGGCAAAAGCCTGGAAGATGGGGGGCACAGAACTCAATCTGTGAGTCAGTTTGTGGTAGAGAAGCGCCCTTGGAAAGAAGCTCCAGAGAAATACAGACTTGGAAGGAGTTCTCGGTTTCACGTTTGAGAGACCAGGGACACTGTAAAAAGAACCTTGCGCTTAGTCCAAAGGCCTGGATATGAGCTCTGCTTCTGTCCCTAATTTTCTGTGTGAACTTGGTAGAGTTTCACCTCCCTGAGCTCCAGTGTTCTCATCGACAAAATGTGGATAACAGCAAGACCTATTTCACAGGGATGTCCAGAATGTTAAAAGAAATAATGAATATAAAAAACTAAATGTCACTCCTTTGATTAGATCCCTCAGAAGTGTCCTATTGTTTGTTTGTTTAAAGGATTGTATTTTATCTTAAAGGGTTCTACTTTTTTATAGAAGTTTATTATTTTGAGAGAGACAGAGACAATGCAAGTGAGGGAGGGGTAGAGAGAGAAGGAGAAAGAGAGAATCCCCATGGCTCAGCACCATCAGTACAGAGCCCAAGGTTGGACTTGAACCCATGAAACTGCGAGATCGTGACCTGAACTGAAACCAAGAGTCAGACACTTAACTGACTGAGCCACCCTGGCACCCCTTGAAGGACTCTCTCTCTATTTTTTTAATTTTATTTTTTATTTAGGGGCGCATGGGTGGCTCAGTCAGTTAAGCATACAACTTCCACTCAGGTCATGATCTTGTGGTTCGTGAGTTCGAGCCTCAGGTCAGGCTCTGTGCTGACAGCTCAGAACCTGGAGCCTGCTTCAGATTCTGTGTCTCCTTCTGTTTCTGCGCCCCGCCCCCACTCATGCTCGTGAGCTCTCTTTCTCAAAAATAAATAAACATTAAAAAAATTTTATTTTTTATTTTTTAAAATTGACATCCAAATTAGTTAGCGTATAGTGCGACAATGATTTTAGGAGTAGATTCCTTAGTGCCCCTTACCCATTTAGCCCATCCTTCCTTTCACAACCCCTCCAGTAACCCTCAGTTTGTGTTCCATATTTATGAGTCTCTTCTGTTTTGTGAAGGACTCTATATTTTTAAGTAATATCTCTGCCCAATGTGGGACTCGAACACCACCCCGGGATCAAGAATTTCATGCTCCACCGACTGAGCCAGCCAGGCTCTCCTTCCCTATTGTTTTTTATTTTTTTTCCAACGTTTATTTATTTTTGGGACAGAGAGAGACAGAGCATGAACGGGGGAGGGGCAGAGAGAGAGAGAACACAGAATGGAAACAGGCTCAGGCTCTGAGCCCATCAGCCAGAACCCCACGGCAGGGGCTCGAACTCCGCAGGGGACCCGCGGGCCGTGACCTGGCTGTTGGTGGGACGCTTAACAGGCCTAAGCCACCCGGCAGCCCCTGTCATTGTTTTTTTTTTTTTTTTTTTTAAAGTTGTTGTTAGTTGGAGAGAGAGAGAGGGAGAATCCCAAGCAGGCTCTGCATTGTCAGTGCAGAACCCCACACGGGGCTCGAACTCATGAACCTTGAGATCATAACCTGAGCCTTTACCAAGAGTCAGACGCTTAACTGACTGAGCCACCCAGGTGCCCCCCCCCATCATTGTTTTTAATTTAATATCCAAGCTCCTCTGCAAAGCACACAAGGCTCTTCAAGATGTGGCTTCTGTCTACTTCTTTCACCCATTTATCATTTATCACCACTCTCTACCCGTGCAACTCCACAGACCAGACAGACAGAACCATTTGCAATTCCCAGAATTTTGCTTTCTCATAGTCTTTGCAAATACAGTCCTTTCCGCCCACAGCATGCTATTCCTGATACACATCCCTTGTCTAATTCCTGTTCTTTCTTCAAGGCTCAGTTTAGGAGGCATCTCCTCCAGGAAGCCTTCCTTAATACCCCATCTGCCCTTCATGTGGGCTGGGCCATTACTCTCTTTTCAGGGGACACTCTGCATTGTCCAATTCTAGCACGTGCAGTAGTTATTGGAATTAAAGATTTGTACCGTTCCTCTTTATGAGACTGCAGTTCCTGGGGGGGCAGTGGCCATTGTGCTTCCTATTTCCCAACCTGCAGGGCTTGACATCTAGTAGACCTCAGGAGTGGCAGCTGAGTGAAGAAGAATGAATGCATGCATGAATGAATGGATGGAGATACAAACTTAAAGTGTCAGTGATGAGCAACACTTTTGAATTTCCATCTTAAAAAAAAAGAACACCCAACTGCAAGTAAAATTTTAAAAAGTGGAAGAACAATCTAGAAGTTTCCCCCATTTCTCACCCAATTCTCTCCTGCTATTGCACATGCCCATCATCTCCTCCTCTGGGTTGCCTTCCTCATCGTATATGCTGAATGACTGAATCATTTTTAGTCATGAAGGACTTTTTATTCCTTTAACCCTGCTTGTTTGGCGCAATCCAGAGAGCTCTGTGACCCTCTATATCAAAAGTGGAGTGTACAATTACTGCTAGTATAATTAAGAGAGATGACCTCATGTCTTTTTCTTTTCTGGCCTGAGGTGTTATTCTGAACTTACCCCTCTATTTCCACCCCCAACTGGCTCCTCTTCCTGTTCCCTATCACAGTGAGTGATACCACCATCTGACCACTTGTCCAAGTGGAAAACTCAGAATTCATGCCCAGATTTTTACTCTCCCTTAGCTGCTCCCTCCTAAGTTGGTCACTAGATCTTGTCCTATCATGTAAGTAAGTATCTTAACTTACCTTCATCTCCACAACTACAACCTAAGTCTAGGCCACTGTGATTTCTCACCAGAATTATTGCATTGGTCACCTAATTGGTCTCCCTGCTTTTAGGCACCTTTCACCTCCATACATTTTTAAAAATTAATTAATTTAGGGGCGCCTGGGTGGCGCAGTCGGTTAAGCGTCCGACTTCAGCCAGGTCACGATCTCGCACTCCGTGAGTTCGAGCCCCGCGTCGGGCTCTGGGCTGATGGCTCAGAGCCTGGAGCCTGTTTCCGATTCTGTGTCTCCCTCTCTCTCTGCCCCTCCCCCGTTCATGCTCTGTCTCTCTCTGTCCCAAAAATAAATAAACGTTGAAAAAAAAATTTTTTTTAATTAATTAATTTATTGTTTAATTTACATCCAGGTTAGT